CATCAAGGAGTTACTCTCTCTTCCTGGTGACGAAGCCCCAGAAGTGGAGAACATCCTCTTGAACGAGGCAGAATTCAAAGAAGCTGTCTTCCTACCAAAAGCTCAAAACCTCAATACTCTCAAGATAAAGAAAAAGCTAATGGTTCAAGAATATGATATACTACTTGACATCCTCTACAAATGCATTGACACAAGAACCACAGCACTTGATGAGATCAATGCACTGAGAGCAAAGCCACTGGCCGCTATCATTTCAGGATCCCCATACAATTGGACCAGGTACGTTTACCAAGAACTCAGAAGATATGTCACAAAATCACACACAGGAAGAAAGGAGGATGGTACATTACCACTACTGGGCTACGGATTCCTCATCGGAGAACTACTCAAAAAGAAGGGCGTACTGGGGACAAGAAAAGAGGCAACTACTTGGAGGAAATTCCTATTCCAAACTTCCAAGGTAGGGGCTCCAGAAATTCCAAAGAATGATGATTCCTTCCTCTCGAACGACCTCCTCTTGGTATCCTTCAAAGTTGATACCAAGACCGCCAAAAGACTACGTTCTGGGTGTCAAGAATCACAGTCAAAAAGGCCAAGGACAGCAACCAGGAATCTACACAGAGAAATGGAAGAAGCAGCATCATCTAAGCATGCAGCAGAAGGCTCTCCTCTCACCATAATTCAAGAGGATGCAGAGTCCTCTTCCAACTCGTCCAATGCTAGCAACAGCTCTGCCATTCCGCTCTCCATTCTTCATCCAACAATACAACAGCAAGAAGACCAACCTGCTCAGATAGAAGAGCAGAGGACTCAACAGGAAGAGCAGGTGACTTCTCCACCTTCACCAACAGATCACTCTCCTACTCCTCTGCAACAATTAGAGGCTGAATGGGCAAGAGTCAAGGCTTGGAGGGAATGGAAACTCTCCAAAATTCTTCACCAAGCCAGGACCCTAACAAAGTTCATTAGTGAAGAGTACTTTGCTCTCACCTGGCTTGGAACTGAAGACATAGCCAAAGCCACAAATCTTCACCAGATGAATCTGGTCTATCTCACAAAGAAGAGGCAGCTAACTAATGAATCACCAGAAGAGCACTCCGAGGATAAGAATGATGATGGTAATTCTGATGATGATGATGACAATCACTCTGGCCCAAATAAACCTCCACAGAACAGAGGTAAGCAAATCATCTCCTCTTCCTCTTCTAGTGATAGAGAACTTCAAATGGCTTTGGAAAAATCTAAATTTGAGACTAGAGGAGGTGGAGAAACCTCCAAAGCAATGGAGGAAGTAGCTCATCAGCCCACTGCTGATCAAGAGCAGACGTCTAGTTCACACTCTCAAGAATCTACTCAAAACATAGAGCAGCACTCTCACACATTCATTCTTGAACCTGAGGACAATGAAGAGGACACTGCTACCCTGGCCGATGTCTTCATCAAAGAAAGAAGGGCTACCACACAGTTCATCAGCCGCGCAGAGGTCAGACTGCACAAGAGACTCATCAAAATGAAGAAGCAACTAGAAGAAAGGCTAGATATCAGATTTGGAGAAGTCCACAGCCACATCAGAAGAGATTCAATGATCCAACAAGTGTTCAATGCTGAGCAGAGAGCTCTACTCCAAACCAAAAACTCTCAGCACTCTGCCTTGACCAATGAAATAAAGCAGGAGATTGCTGCACTAAAAGCCAAGAATGAGGACCTCGAAAGACAAATGCTAGCACTTCAAAAGCAGCAACAAGCTCAGCCTACTGCAGCAGGTACCTCTGAGCAGCTGCCTTCTCTCCCAACCTTACCTCCTCATCTTCAGCAGACTTTCCAAATGGTGAAGGAGCATGAAGAATACCTCCTGAAACTAAGAAATGAGGAGTTCCCTGCCATGTTCAAGCTCTCTCAGAAATTCCTTATGGACCAGCAGGCTCATGCTAGAGCTTATGAACAGCTCACTAAAGACATCGCTCACAACTTTCAAGTTCTTCAAAAGGCTACTCAGGACACCTTTTGGAAGCAAGGGTCTGACTTTCAGAAACTAGGTCAGAGCCTAGTAGCTACACAGGACAAGCTTCAAAGATTAGAGAATGAGGTCAAAGATGAGGTCAAAACAGATCTTTTGGACGTCAATAATCATATCAAGGCCCTGTCCATCGAAGTATATGGTCTGGATCCATCAAGAAGGCAAATTGAAAATCCTGACTCTGACCCAGAAATAGAAGCACTCTTCAAAGAGAGTGAGACCTCTGCTGTTGATGCCAAAAAGGGGGAAAGGACAACTCAAGCAGGTCCCTCCTCCTCCAGATCAGCAGCAGCAAAGAAAGCAGCTGCAACAAGAAGGAAAAACAAACTCTACAAAGAAGAAGCTGAGATAAGAAGAAGAAAGGAAGAAGAAGCCAAAGCCAAGGAAGAAGCTGCTAAGAAGAAACAAGAATAGATCAGTCCTCAAGTCCGAAAGTGACTAAAAACTATTGTACTTTAGAATATAGACCAATGTACAATACTCTCAATACGAATCAATAAAAACAGTTGTTTCTTGTGTTGTATAGTTTTGGCATCATCAAAAAGGGGGAAATTGTTAGTCTCCAATTTTGATAGATTTTGATGATGCCACTATACTAAACAAATTTACATTGAGTCTTATTTTCAGAAGTAACATTTTAATTTAAATCATAAGTGACAAAAATAAATGTACAATCTTTAAGATTAATGATATATTACCGGATACATAAAAATGCAATAAGGTATCTTTTTACCTTTATAGGATATTTAAATCCTACCGGCATATATCATTTTACTTAAAGATTAAATATAGGTCACATTTGAGATGCTCGAATACACTGAATATTGATTGGAAGACAAAAATTAAATACATGGTCCTACAGCATGGGAGGACTTCTTGGAGTGAAGCTGCAGCGGCTGAAGACACACCCATACCGCAGCCCAATCATTCAAGACAGAAAACAAAAAGATTAAAAGCTCCTGCACAAGAAGACGAATGTACAATTCGTCCTAGCCAGACCCTCAACGCACAAGATTAATCCATCTCAACCAACGGATGAGATTAATCAACCATGAAGGCCTATAAATATAGGTAGAAGCATGAGTTCAAAAATAAGCTTGAGCATCCTAAGTAGAGAAATACTTTCATCAAAGCATATACGAGCTATCTAGCAAAAGAGAAAGTGCAAACTCAACTTTACTCTCTGCTTAGCCTCATGCTTCACTAAGCTCTTAGATTAGATCAACACTTTCACATTTTTAGAGCTTAGTTCATAGTTGGAGGTTAGAACTTTCTTGTAAACATTACACAAGTGGTTGTAAACACTTAGGAGAACAGTTGTTCGGATCCTAAAGTGTGGGTAGATAGATAGAGTACCTTTTGATCCCCACTGGATCGATTGAGAAAAGTCTAAGGACTGAGTAACTTTGAGTGGTGTTATACTCATTGTGAAAAACCTTCAATCTAGGCCTAAGTGTTGTAAAGGCTAGATTGGCACTAAGTGTATTGGGCTGAATACTTTAGTGAAATCCATCTGAAAGAGGGTGGGACTGGATGTAGGAGGATTACACCACCTCTGAACCAGGATACATCGTGTGTTGATTCTCCTTTACTCACCACAGCACACACCCAATACTTCTCACTAAAGGGATCGTAGTTTGCCAGCAGCATCCTAAGCAGTCGTCTTAATTGACTCTACTGCTTATCCTACTGCTTAATAACTCACTTTTCCTTGAGACTTCTGTTTCCCACAAGCTTTAAATATCACTACTAAAAGGTGTGATTGGTCAGTCCTCAAAGATACTTCTTTATAAGCAGCAGACGGCTTAGCAGTTTCCTGGGATTACCCAACTGCTCAGACCACTGCTCAGGCAAAACTCTTTACTACCTTCAGCTCAACATATATTCAAAAAGCCCTCATCATTCTCTGCAAGGCCATATTATCATCTTTCTCAAACTTCTATTTTCAACTGGCAGTTGCCTCAGCAGTTCCTTGCCATCTAGCTAACTGCCAAGCCAACTGCTCACAGTTTGAAGTCCAAACATCATTGAAGGTAGAAAGTTGTCACACACTCATTAGAAAAAGGGTAAAGACTTCCGCTGTGCATCTATTAATCTCTCAAAAGATTATAGATCAATTCATCTAGAGGTAAAACTTGAAAAAGGTGAAAAAGATTTAAAAGTCTATTCACCCCCCCCCCCCCCCCTCTAGACTTTTACCCTATCCAGGACCATCACATTGTATTCTAGAGCTCGGCTCTACTACATCACCATACAATTCATATACCTCGGGTCAATTTCCTTACCTTGCGTTCTAGAGCTCGGCTCTATTACATCACCACGCAAGTCCTAGAGCTCGGATCTAGCTATACAATACATAGACTCCAAGTCTACACCTTACATGCATTCTAGAGCTCGGCTCTATTACATCACCATGCATTAAGGTCCAATTCTCAAGCAACCCTATGCCTAGAATTGACATATCATTAAACTACTTTGGGTCATCCTTAAAGACTTCCCATAACTTAACTTTAGTTCCAAACTAAGTTATTATATACACTTGAACTATATTCAAGTAACTTTCATACAATCCAATCCCTAGGATCAATTTAATCAACAAGTTCCAATAATCACTAACTAGTATTTCAATACTATTAAGATTATTGTTATCATACCATTATCCTCATTATTTGTAATTCTCTACATATTTATAATTATGTAGCAGCAACTTAAGTATTCAATCTCAATACACAAATATTCATTTATGTATCCACATAATTCATACATGAGCAAAATGCCCATTTTCACAAAATAGTTCATTTATACTCATTTAATCTCATATTATTCATACCTTCTCAAATCATTTCAAATTTCATTCCTTGGCAACTATATCAATATTTCATCAATATATAATCATCATAATCCATGAAAAATCATGATTTAAGCATTTAGGTAATCTCATGCTTAACCTACAAGTTGTAAGCAATTAGATGTCAATCCTCACCTCAATTGAGCTTTAAACTTTCCCTTCTTGGTCCAATGGTCAAAGCTTTGGTCAAGGTGGATTTGGAACTGATTCCTTGCTCAAATATGAGTGTTAAACAGCCTCCTCAAAGTGCTAGTTCAACCCTTAATCGTTGATACGAAAACAGCCCCTAGAACGGGTGTTTTCCGGCTAACTCGATTCCTAGTTTTCCAATATTTGCATCTAGGTTAGTATCTAACCTTTACATCAATAAAATAACTTTATAAGGACATATTATACACTTGGATTAGTGTATAATAGTCTCACCAATCGTTCATATCATTTGGAGAATGAAAAGTAAAGCTTTGGGGTTTAAAACTCACTTTAGAGGATTAAATCCTCTCCTGCGAGGTTGCGTTTTTCTCGGACGATTTGGAAGCCTTCCACAACTCCGATTCCTGCAAACCAGACCTTCACGGATTCCTCGTCTTGAGAGCTTTCTGTGGGTATCTCACACGCCTTAATTGGATTTGTAAAACTCGAGATATCGACCAAACAGTCTCAGCACTCTCACAGCTCGAGTTCACAGACCTCTGCTCGTTCCAGCTCGATTTTTGTAAGATAAGCCTTCTCTCCTCGAACAAAGACCACTCAATTGAGATAATAGACTTCAAAGGCTATCCAAGGACATATTATTCACGTTGTTTGGTCGAGTATAGCTTCTATAATGAGAGGAGACAAACAGCACACCAATTTGTGCGAAAATAAGGATGGTGGCCCAAGTTTTGATTCCTATCAAGTCATGTGCAGCTCCCCTCCATTATGGACGGCCAAGGTAGGTCTTCTAACCCATTTTTATTTGTTTTGCAGGTACTAATATCATGTGGAGTGGTTCCCAATTGATCCCATTAAATTTGGGGTCCAAAATATCTACCAATACTTCCAAAAATGGGAAGATGGGTCCTATTGTTTTATCTTTGTCAAAGATGTCTTCTTGTACTCATCCTAATTTATTTAGAACAAGTCAACTTCCTAAATCACATTATTGATCTCCAATATGTGTAGGCTCATCCCAATAATTTACTTGATGGATATTTTAGAAGGAAAATCCTACTCCCATTATTTAGCTCAATAATGCCAAAGATGGGGTTATAGACATTTGTATTCTCCTTTAATCATTCTTTCACTATTTTGGTAATGTTGGGCTTTTTTATTTATTAATAAGTCCCGAGTAAGTATTTGCGAAACCCGACACGAATGTACGAGTTTGAACAGTACGATATTCAACCATGCACTACGTAGAACATTGATCGTTTTACGAAATGTTTGGGAATCGGAAATCCAATACATAAGCTATGAATATTCAAATCAAATTTCCAAGGACATTCGGGTGCGGTGTCACAAGTTCACCCCCCCTTAACAGGAATTTCGTCCCCGAAATTCACAGCTCTACTCGAATAGGAAAGCATACTGCTTCCTCATCAAAGCCTCTGTTTCCCATGTCTCTTCTTCGACCCGATCGCTCTTCCACAAGACTTTAACCATTGGGACTTCCTTGCTCCTCAGTTTCTTCACCTTTCTATCGGTGACCTTGATAGGTTGAACAGAGTAGTTCAAATCCTCACGTACCTCTACAGGTGGCTTCTCCAATACGTGAGAGGGATCATGCACATACTTCTTAAGCATGGATACATGAAACACATTATGTATCTTCTCTAACTCAGGAGTCAATTGTAGACGGTATGCAACGGCCCCAATCCTCTCTATAATTCTGAATGGACCTATATATCGTGGGTTAAGTTTTCCTCGGGTTTGGAACCGAATGATCCCTTTCCAAGGAGAAACTTTCAAGAATACCTCGTCATCAACCTTAAACTCTAAGGTTCTTCGACGCTTATCTGCATAACTCTTTTGTCTATCCTGAGCCGCCTTGAGTCTCTCTCGAATTAGCTTCACCTTTGATTTGGTGACCTCCACCAACTCAGTACCCTCGAGTTTGGCCATGCCAACCTCGTCCCAGCATAACGGTGTACGGCACCTCCTCCCATACAATGCCTCGTATGGAGGCATGCCGATGCTTGCCTGATAACTGTTGTTATAGGCTCTGTATAACCCTTTCAGACTGCCCATCCGTCTGTGGATGGAAAGCAGTGCTGAACTTCAACTTCGTTCCCATAGACTCCTGGAATTTCGGCCAAAAACGTGATGTGAATCGTGGGTCTCTATCAGATACAATGGTCACCGGGACCCCATGCAGCCTCACGATCTCATCCGTATACAATTTGGCTAACCTCTCAAGTGGGTAGGTAGTGTTGATAGGCAAGAAGTGTGCACTCTTTGTGAGCCTATCCACAACGACCCAAACCGCGTCATAGTTCCTGATAGTCCGTGGTAAGCCTACCACGAAATCCATAGTCACGTGCTCCCACTTCCATTCAGGGATGGAGAGTGGTTGCAATAAGCCTGCTGGGTGCTGATGTTCTGCCTTAACTTGTTGACAAGTAAGGCACCGACTGATGTACTCGGCTATTTCCCTCTTCATTCCAGACCACCAGTAACTTTCCTTCAAATCACGGTACATTTTCGTGCCCCCCGGGTGCATGGCATAAGCCGATGAATGAGCCTCCTCTAAGATGGACTTTCGGAGCTCATCATCTGACGGTACACACACTCGGTCACGAAATAACAAGAGACCATCATCTCTTTCCCTGAAATCCTCCACCGGCCCCGCTTGCATGCGTTCCCGGACCTTCATAAGTTCTTCGTCGGCTTCCTGACCCTTCTTGATCTCATCAAGTAAAGTGGGTCTCACCTCAAATCGTGCCAATAAGGCACCATCGCTGGTTACCTCCAGTTGGGCTCTTAATGCCCTCAAATTAGTTATCAATGCCCCAGACGAGCTCTTCCGGCTCAAAGCATCTGCCACCACGTTTGCCTTGCCTGGGTGATACTCTATCACTAGATGGTAGTCTTTTATCAGCTCCATCCACCGTCTCTGTCTCATGTTTAGCTCTTTCTGAGTAAACACGTACTTCAAGCTCTTGTGATCAGTGTATATGTGACATGTCTCCCCGTAGAGATAATGTCTCCATATCTTCAGTGCAAATACCACTGCCCCGAGCTCCAAATCATGAGTAGGATAATTCACCTCATGCTTCTTCAATTGTCGTGAAGCATAGGCGATTACCCTCCCATTCTGCATCAGTACACATCCGAGCCCTTGGATGCTCGCATCGCTATAGACATCGTACCCCACACCTTGTTTGGGTAATGCAAGTACCGGTGCCTCAGTCAATCTCTTCTTTAGTTCCATGAACCCCTTCTCACATTTGTCATCCCATACAAACTTAGCTCCTTTACGAGTGAGCTTCGTCAATGGCGATGCCAAAACAGAGAACTTCTCCACGAACTTTCTATAGTAGCCTGCCAATCCAAGGAAACTACGAATTTCCTTGACGTTCTTTGGCCTCTCCCATTCAGTAATGGCTTCTATCTTCTTGTTATCAACAGCAATCCCCGATCCCGAAACCACGTGCCCGAGGAAGCCAATCTCCTTTAGCCAAAATTCACATTTAGAAAATTTGGCATAGAGTTGCTTCTCCCGTAGTGTTTCAAGAACAAGTATCAAGTGCTCCTCATGCTCTTCTTCACTCTTTGAGTAAATCAAGATGTCATCTATGAACACAATCACGAATCGATCCAAGTATTTATGGAATACTCGGTTCATCAAGTCCATGAATGCCGCCGGGGCGTTTGTTAACCCAAACGACATAACAAGGAACTCAAAATGCCCATACCTTGTGCGGAAAGCACTCTTTGGTATGTCATCTTCCTTAATCTTCAATTGATGGTACCCCGACCTCAAGTCAATCTTCGAAAACACGGTTGCTCCTCGTAGTTGATCAAACAAGTCATCAATCCTAGGCAACGGATACCTATTCTTGATTGTGACCTTGTTCAGTTGACGATAGTCAATGCACATTCGAAGTGTCCCATCTTTCTTTTTCACAAAAAGAACCGGTGCTCCCCACGGGGAGTGGCTTGGTCTAATGAAACCGTTATCCAAAAGCTCTTGCAATTGGGTTTTCAACTCGTTAAGTTCGGCGGGTGCCATCCGGTATGGCGGTATGGAGATTGGTTTGGTACCAGGCTCGACCTCGATCACAAATTCAATCTCTCTGTCAGGTGGAAGCCCCGGTAGGTCTTTAGGGAAGACATCCGGATACTTACAAACCACCCTCACATCATCGACGTTCGTTTCCTCTTTGGCTTTGTCAACCACGTATGCTAGATATGCGTGGCATCCCTTCCTCATCATATTTCTCGCTCTCACGGCGGATATGATACAACTATTTGATTTGCCGCGGTCCCCCTCGAAGCGTAGGGTGTCCCCCTGTGTGCCTTCGAGTTCCAACACCTTTGTGTAGCAATCTACCCTAGCATGATGCTTTTCTAGCCAATCCATCCCTAGGATTGCATCGAACTCCATCATACTCAGCGGTACGAAATCACACGTCAAGGTTTGGCCACCGATTTCCACCATACAAGATGGATAGTAATTGTTTCTTTCAACGTCTTCCCCTAGTGGGGTTGATACCACTAAGGTTTGTGTCATTGGTATTGATTGCATCTCTAAGCTCTCGGCAAACGCCTCACTCACGAATGAACGTTGCGCTCCGGTATCGATAAGGATTCGTGCATCCTTCCCGTTAATCTTTAGTGTCCCTACATTCATGAACCATGTAAGACATCTTTCCTACCCTCCCTACTCATTTATAGAAGGTCGCAATGTTCACACGCACGTTAGGGATCAAGAAGAGGCCTTAACGTCGCAAAACGATGCGAAAAAATCGGGTTTCGGCAATCTGGGTGCCAGGCACGGCGTGCCCGGGGTAGGCACGATCGTGCCTGGCTCAGGAAAACGCCCTGGGGCTACTGCCTTGGAGGCACGATCGTGTCTGCCTTAGGCACGATCGTGCCTGGGTTGGAAAAATCCTGGGAACCACTGACTTGGAGGCACGATCGTGTCTGCCTTAGGCACGATCGTGCCTGGTTTGGAGAAAAGCCCTGGGCAGCTACTGCCTTGTAGGCACGATCGTGTCTGCCTTAGGCACGATCGTGCCTGGGCTGGGAATATTCCTGGGCAGCTACTGACTTGGAGGCACGATCGTGTCTGCCTTAGGCACGATCGTGCCTGGGTCCCAGCCGCCTGAAGTTGCCCG